TTCATCTAGACCTAAATTTTTCTTTTCCCCTGGAAAGGAGACAAAGTTTCCAGCATTCCAAGAGGGTCATGTGAGTGAGCGCCCTAGCTGCTGGGTTGGTAAGGCAATTTTTCCCTTGCAGTAATGAATGTGTAAGCATTGCTATAGAAAGAGAAAAAAACAAACAAACCACAAAATGACATCCTTAAAAGAGGAGAGAAATAGCAGTGGTGTCTCCAACATTTCTATGCTTGCCAGGTCTTTGTAATTATATCTACATCCAAACTTTCTGATTCTCAGAAGTGCTTTCAAGTTGGCTCATTGTCTGGGCTAAGAAGAGGAAAAGTGATTAAAAGTGAGAGGAGGGTTATGAATACATTTAGCTCTGCCACAACCAATAATATGGGTCAAGCTTACAAATACAGAAGGTATAAAAGTAATATCTACTGATCCGTTATGTACAACAACACAAGACTTGTGTCTTTGGAACCAGCAGCACTACACGCCTGTCAGTGAATAAATGGTTTGATTTCAAAACACACACCAGTGTCATTTATGTGCACTTGTTCTCAGGGTTTTATATCATTTGTGACAAGAGCTAAGGGAATGTAGTTGTGTGGTAGGATGAAATTTAACTCTATCTTTTAGTTATAGTTATGGTGTAGCTTTGTGCAAACCTTTTCTCCTTGGTCATTAGTTACCTGAGTGGTCCAGGGACTGCCCTGCCTGTCTCAGCATAGATGAGACAATGGCCCGACCTGGGACATGGTGCTAAACCTGGAATAATTGATAGGTTTCATTTACATATTTCAATGTGTTAGTTCATATCCCGGATTGAAAATCTGTCTATTCCACTGACTTCCCCTGGCAGTTCCTATCAAAGAATAGATGGGAATCACAGAGGGAGGAATGGTCCCAAAACACAGACACTTGAACATAGGAGAGAAAAATTTTTATGCACAGTTAAGACAAAAATTAGCAGTGCTGGAATGGTCACAGTGGACGACAGAGCAGGTCCATGGAAGAACATGGAGAAAAACATTTTTTGGAGTCTCATCCTATCCACCTGAAGACGGCTGCTGCAAAGACAGAGAGTCTTATTACCACCTGGACCGGGGGCAAGGATCCTTTCTGGGGATTTTAATTCACCATCTGAGCATTACCCTTTGCAAAGATCCCCATAAATTATTATTACATTTTAACAAACATTCTGTGACCATCTGTGCAAAATAGTCAATGGAGGGTGTCCCGGATCTGTGTAGGATGGCATTAAGAGCTCATACAGTGTTGTGCTTTGTATTCATGGCTAGAAGAGTGTTGATAACTGTGTTAGGTTTATGTGGCAAGGTTGGGGCAGAAGTCGTAGGTGAGGCTGCAGGAGTGGCCTCTGTGAGAAGGAGTCAGGTGCAGCTCTCATGCAGGACACAGACAGCTCCAATCAGCTCCAAAACAGAACCATAGCAGGGCACAGCTGAGCACATCAGCCAAGCTGGTGGTGCCTCTGGGAAAACAAATTCAAGAGCAGAAAACCTCAGGCAGGCAGAAGACAAGGCATAAAAAGAGAACAAAAACCAACCCTGCAAACACAACAGTTAAAGGAAATGGAGGGATGGGAGCAGATATTTCCCTGCATCCCATGGAGGACACATGCCAGAGCAGCATGATGTTTCCTGAACGAACTGTAGGACATGGGGGGACCCCACTGGAAGAGGGGAAAAGCTGAAAAGGAAGGAGCAGCAGAGCTGTTATGGACTGAACATAACACTCCCATCCTCCACACCCACTGTGATGCTTGGGGTAGTGGTCAGAGTATGGTGGAGGAGTCAGGAATGAGGCAGTGAAGTTGAGCCTGGAAGAAGGAGAAGGAATGTGTTGTTCTAGTTTTTATCTTTGTTTTTCACTGCCCAAATCTTTTTTAACTGGATTTTGTCCCAGCCTTAGACACTCAGCCTGGGCAGTATCCAGCCCTTGGATATTCCCATCTCCGCTTGCCTCACACACACAGTCACACACTCACAGTAACGGGTGTCACAGGTGATGTCCAGAGCTCATGGGCTCTGCCCTGTTTGTCTTGGTCCTGCTGTTCAACCCTGCAGAGTACATCTGGTTTCCAAACAAAGTCATGGTTTACAAGTCCCTTGCCCTCCTCAGGCAGACAGGTTGGCCTGCCCAGTTCCTGGCACAGCAGCCACAGGAGGCTCCAGGAACCATGGTCCCTGCTCTGGTTGCTGGCACTCAGACAAGACTTTAATCTTTACCCAACCTTTCACCAGTCTCCACCTCGGAGCTGTCAGGTTTTCCTGTAGGGTTTCCCCTGAAATGAAATTGCCAAAGAACCCTTGTGACTGTCTTGGAAGGAGTCCTGGATTGTAGGAAAGTGCCATAGAGCCTGATCTCCCCCTTTGCATGAAAACACCAATGGAGTGTGAAAAGCTGTGGGAATCATTGCAAGTGCTGAAAGGAAGAGCCTGGCATTCTTCCAGGGAAAGTAAAATGTCTGAAGTAAGGATGGTGCTTGTTTGAATGAGCCTTGTGGTCTGGTGCTGGGAGAGGGAGGGGCAGAAGGAAGTGTGGATATGTGGTCAGTCAGGTGTCCCCGCCCATGGCAAGGGGTTCGAACGAGATGGTCTTTAAGGTCCTTTCCAACCCAAGCCAGTCTATGATTCTGGGATTCTATGAACTCCTTTTCAGCAGTGGAAGGATGTGCCCAGATTCATCTTGCTGAGTTTCGATCTTTCAAAAGCCATCTGAGTCTGGTACACTCTGCTCCACCCATGTCAAGGCAGAGAGGATGTGTCTTTGTTTTCATGAAGGTCTCCCTCCAGTTCATGCTCAGGTTCTGGTCCTCTGAGCACCCCAAAAGGGTGGGAGCACACTCAGTCTCTGCTTTACAGCAAATCAACCAGGTACCTACCTCCATGTCCCTGTGACTCCCAGAGCACTCAGTTCCCGGGAAGCCTCCAAGTAGTTGGTGTGAGTGGGATGGCTCAGGTTTGTTTCTCTCCATGCTCTGTGGTTGTCTGAGGGCTCAATCACCTCCCGTCTGCCTCCTGAAACATCCCAAGAGAGGCAGCACACATTCACAGTGCTCACCTTCAGAAGCATTGCCCCGGTGAACTGCAACACAACCATATCCACTCTGGCTCTTTCCATGTTTGGAACAGGAACATACAAGGGAGCACAGAACAATAATTCTATAATGGCATCATGACACAGGGCCCAGACATGTCCCAGCCCACGTGCTCAGTACTGGGTTGCACAAGCCCATCCAAGAGGTCACAAGCCTTGCAGAGGGTCTTCTCACTTGGGAAGACTCAGTCTCCTATTTACAGTTTTTTAAGCTTCCAACCAAGAGAGGAATTGTGGAGAACATCAGCACTTTGCTGGAAACATCAGAAGGCTGAAGAGGAGTCTGGGTTTGCTGAGGTCATGTTGATGAATGAAAAGGTGAAAGCTGAAAGAAGAGGAGTGTAGCAGGGGATTGCCGAAACTGAAATCAGTACACCATTGAAAGCTTAACAAAACAACATTTATTACAAAGAAATAGTAAACAAAACCAGAAACCGAGAGACAGGAAAGAGAAGGGAAACAAACCCCCAAGACAACACCCCACTCACTCAGGTGTTGCTTTCAAGGTTGTCTTACAGATCCCAGAATGCCAAGAATTCCCCATAGCAGAAGCTGCATCCTCGGAGCATCGGCAGGCTCACACGATAGCAGGCATCCCTGCAAGGGCAACACTGTCCTCCCTGTGAAGTTTGAATCCACTCCCAGCAAGAGCTCTCTGCTTTTTATGCAGTTAACCTGTGATGTCTACCTGGGCAGGTGTGGCCAGCACTGCCCAGCCAGAGGCCCTCGGTCCCTCCGCCGTGATGTAAGTGGTGCCCCTGCTGCACCTCGGGGAGTCTTTCCTAAATGAGTCTGGGGGCTTATTCATCCTCCTCCTCTTCACTTTTTTCTTCAAATGCCCTTGGAGGGCCGTCGGCCAATAGTGAGGCCCCAATTAATTTCAGTTTATACAAGATGCTTCCTTCAAGGACGAAGTTCTCGTTTATCAGTGCTTGTTTTCACATAACTTGGCAGGAAAAGAACAGACTCTCACAGGTGGCTGGGCTAAACACAGACCAAAAGTAACAGCATCTAATTAAGCACGAATACAAGGAGGGAAGCAGACTTTTTCCAAGGAGTCTGGAAAACTCACAGAGCAATTCCTCTCATAATGCACGTTAGGGCACATGGAGCAGAGGAAGGGGATGGCAACAGTCAGCAAGCATTTACCAAGTGTAAGCCAGGCTTGACCAAGGTGATTTGCTTCTCTCATTATTGCATTATGCAGGAAGGAGAGCAATGAGTGTCCTTTACCTTGACTTTAGCAAGGCTTTGGACATTGTCAGGACCCAGCATATTCTCCTCTGTGGGTTAGAATGTTATGATCTAAATGAACAACTTGATGGGTAAAAACAGGTTGGATGTTCATGCTCAGAGAGTGGTGGTGGTAGTGGTGGTTCATAGGCCATACTCTACATGGAGGTCTGTAACAAGTTCAGACAGAAAAGAAGCTTTCCAATGCCTGCAAGCTACCACTAGGCTCTTCACCGCAGCCAGCAGTGGCAGCATGAGAGAGAAAGATAATGGGTAGACAGTAGAAAATAAATTAAAAAGTCAATGTGTAAGAAAAAACTAAAAGTGTTTTCATGATGAGAAGAGTGAAGCATTGGAATGAGGTGCCCAGACAGGATGTCCAGTCTTCCTCCTCTGTGTCAGTGCCTTAAGTGCATTCCCCTTCCTGGAGGTTTGACTGGCTGGGCTCATGGCAAAAGGAGAGTCAGCAAAATTGGGGGCTGAGTTCCTTTCTACTTGAAACCCAGTGCTGCCAGGGAGGACCTCAGAGAGGCCTCAGGCAGGGCTGCTTTGAAGAGGACACTCTGACTCTGATCCTCACCTGAGCTCCAGCTCCAGTTGTGTCTCAGCCAGGCCTGCACCTGGCCATGGCCTCTGCTGATGTGGACCTGGGCCCATGGACTGACTTCCCAGCTGGACCTCAGACTTTTCTCAGCAAATGGACCTCTCAAATCATCTAGAACACAAGTGCTCGAGGATGTGAGGTTCTGAACAAGCCCAGATCTCTCCAGCTTCTGGAGGAGATGGTGACAAAAACCAGAGCATGTGCAATGAACTCCCTCACCAAGCCACAGTCTGGGGGTTGCAAATAAAAAAGCAGAAAATGACGCAAGCTAAGAGCAGGCTGAGGTTTCCTGTTTCAACTCCACACTACATATATAGAGATTGCCATTCTGTACCTGTCTCCTGCCTGGCCTCAATAACTGCTTTGGCTCCTCAGGACAGTGGTAGAAGATGCTGCTTCTCCTACTCCCAAGTGCTTTTCTCCTTCTACCATGGGCTGGGGCTGGTGAGTACACCAGGACAAGGACATGCAAGGGCTCAAATGGACACTGAGCAGGAAATCTCAGGAAAAGTTCCTGCCTTGTCTTCTCTCCTATTGCTGCACTCCTACTCTCCTCTTTCTCAGCTCAGACTGTGCCTGAAACCAGTGATACATCACAGGGATTAGAGCTGTGCCCTTTGATAACATTTCAGTCATCCAGAGCCAGGTGTGGTCAGTCCTCCCCAGGCAGTGCTGCTTGTCTTTCTCTCCATTGTGCACCAGCAAGGCTTTGGACAGCCCAAGGAAGGAGAGTTGTGGATATCATTTGCATATGATGTTAGAGGAGGTCCCTCTCTCCTCATTCCTACCAGACTTGGTTGGAAATATTGGCATATGTGATATTAACACTTCTCATCTCTCTTCCAGGAAGGATCATTGGAGGAAGGGAAGTTAAGCCCCACTCCAGGCCCTACATGGCTTACTTACAAATTGAAAGTAGCTCAGATACTAACAGATGTGGAGGGTTCCTGATTCGCCCAGATGCAGTGCTCTCAGCAGCTCATTGTGTGCATGGAAAAGGGTAAGACTCTGTTTCTTCTGTGTGGGATATTTCCAAGTCTCACACAGTCCTGAAGGGCCCCAGTCCTGGTCTGGGCTGAAAGAGTTCTCTGTGTCTCCTCAGGCAGAGCAGGGATCTCTATGAGCTGAGCTCCCCCTCTGAGTTGCAGGAGTTGTCTGCCAGGGGCTGTGTGCTCCTGGGGGCAGGAATGCTCAGCAGTGATCTCCTGGTTCATGGCTCCTACCATGGCTCAGAGGTACTGCTGCAAAAGAGGGGTCAGTATGTCCCATTCCCTGCTTCCCCTTTGTCTTCAGAATGGGACAAGTCAGACCTATGTGAGTGTGTGGGGAGGGACCCTCAGTTGAACAGTGGAAGGAACCCAGGTTACAAAAGGGAATTTGCTGAGAACGAATCTCTGGGGAGGTACATCCCAGCGCCATCTCCCTCCAACCACCTGCCACGGGGCTGTGCTGCTCTGGCCAGTGCAGCTGCAACATGTTGGTGTTTCCTGGCAGAAAGGTGAATATCACTGTGACCCTGGGAGCCCACAAAATAAAAAAGAAAGAACCGAGCCAGCAGAAGATCCGAGTTGGATGTTGGGTCATCCATCCCAGATACTTAAATTATAGATCTGGAAATGACATCATGCTGCTGAAGGTATGTTCTCACACATCTTTGCTGCCCAAGGGATCTTCCCCTGCTCACTTCACCAAACCCATGAACTTGTTCCCATTCCTTTGTTGGCTCTAACCCCATGTTTTCTCTGCTTAATAGCTGAAGAAAAAGGCCAAGATGACAAAGTATGTGAAACCCATCTCCTTGCCCAGTCACAACGAAACTGTCACACCAGGAACTAAATGTAGTGTGTCTGGCTGGGGCCAGACATCGGTGACAGGGCATAGGACTGATGTGATGCTAGAGGTGGACCTGGGGCTGCAGCGTGACGAAGTGTGTGAGGGGTCTTTCAAAGGCTACTGCTGCCAGTCTATGATCTGTGCCGGTGATATGCGTGGCAGAAAATCAACCTACAATGTAAGTGTTTGGATGGGGCTGGGACCACAGTCAGTCGTGTTCTCAGGTGAGGGTCAAAAGGGCAGTACAATGAACCAGATTCTTCAGCAGAATGTGCTGAGGCTCCTCACAGCAGATCTGAAGCTGATGTGCTCCCTGAGCTGGGGTGCACTTGCCCAACTCTCAGCATCAATTTGCCTCTTTACTCACTTGGGGATGTTCTACCCATCCCAGCCAGTGCCCCAGCAGCCTGCAGAGCTTGTGTAAATCCTTTGTCATATCCTCGCTGGAAGTGTTCAGGTACTCCCCCGTGTCTAAACTAGGATTAGATCCTTCCTTTCAGAAAGGTTTTGAATCTCAAATAGCCTCCAGTCCTGAGTTGCTTCCCAGAAGGGCTTAGAGGAGTAGTGAGGCAGCTACAAACCCTGCAGAGCTGGGTCTGGAGAGAGGGAGGGGGTCAGAAGAGGAGGTTCTTCACATGGGGAGAGGGAATTGGAATAGTTTGTTCCTTAGGGCAGGGAGAGCTGTGCTGTGACAGGGCTGACCCCTTTCACTCCTTTCACTCCACAGGGGGATTCTGGAGGCCCATTAGTCTGCAATCGGAAGGCTCATGGCATTGTTTCTTATGGATATCAAAATAAACCCTTCCCTAAGGTATTTACCAGAGTCTCCTATTTTGAGCCCTGGATCAATGAACAGCTGAGGAAATTTGCAATCCAAAAGGCTTCCAAATGCAACTAAAACAGAGTCAGAGATGCCTTGCCAGGCACATTTTCTGCACTAAGGAATGTCCCCTGGCAAGGTGAAAATGCAGGTCCCAAGCACACCCAGTTTCCCATTGTTCCCTTCCTCCCACTGCTGCCCAACAGGGCCACCTCCTGCTCTGCTTTCTGCCCATCAATAAAAGCTTCTTCAAACTTGTTGGTGTGTGCTGCCTTCTTGGGGATGGGATGCAAAGCTTGAGCATGAGAAGGAGGAGATGACACTCCTTGGGAGAACCTGAGTGGGACTGTAGCTGGGACACACAATACAGATCTTTGTCCCTGAACTGCTGCAAATGCTCTCCCTTGTCTCCCTCAACCTCTTGCACTCAAACCAGCAGGCAGAGACAGCAGCCTTGCCAAACCATTTATTCAGCCTTTCAGAAACAGAAGCTTCTCTGCCTTCAAGGGGGGATCATGTGGGTTTCTATTGCCAACTTGAAACCATCTCGGGATCCTCAGACAGATTCAACACCAGCCAGCCTTACCTCCCATCTTCCCTTTCAACCCTCTTGAACCTCAGATGAAGCATTTTCTCTGCACCTGTAAAACGCCTGAGGGCTGAGATGCGGAGGTTTTCTCCTATGGGATCAGCTAATCAGACCTGGCTGGGCCTGGAGGTGCCCTTGTGGTGTGGTGACAGGATAGAGAATGTCAAATATGGCCCAGGCAAAAGCAGTATTGCAGAGAGACAAGCCTGGTCAGTCATGCCAGGGAGAGACGCATTTCTTCTATGCAACTTTTCCTTTATGATCATTTATCCATGATGTGGACAAAGGGATAGAATGTACCCTCAGCATGATTCCCGATGATATAAAACTGGGGGCACAGAAACCTAAAGAGGTGCAACAAGGGCAAGTGTGGGGCCCTCCACCTGGGGAGGGATAACCCCAAGAACCTACTAGAGAGCAGTTCTGTGGAGAAAGACTTGGGAGTCTTGGTAGATGACAAGTTGACCATGAGCCAGACACATGCCCTGGAGGCCAGGAGGGCCAATGGGATCCTGGGGTGCATCAGGAACAGTGTGGCTGCAGGTCAGGGAGGTGATCCTGCCCCTCTACTCGGCCCTGGTGAGGCCACATCTGGAGTACTGCATCCAGTCCTGGGCTTCTCAGTACAAGAAAGACAAGGAACTACTGGAGAGAGTCCAGTGGAGGCCACAAAGATGATTAAGGGACTGGAGCATCTCTCTGATGAGAGAAGACTGCAGGAGCCAAGCCTGCTCAGTCTAGAGAAGAGAAGACTGAAAGGGGAGCTCATAAATGCATATAAATATTTTAAAGTTGGGTGTCAAGAGGATGGTGATTTGGCCAGGACAGACCAAGATACACCACAATCTGACACATCATGCTCTCAAGGCTTTC